ACGACTTTTTCAGTTTTATATGTAAAGTATAAATTTCTACTTTCAATCATTTTTTGCAGAGATTATACACCTTTACATTTTTAAAAACGTTTTTAAGAGACGTCTCATATCTCGATTTTGAACTTCATTATTTATTTGTGATGGAACGATTATTGTAATTAGATTGAACATTTTGTTACTTGTGTCTTTTATTACGTTTATTACTAGAAAGAAATCCTGTAAACGAGAAAGTTCTGATGTAACTCTCATTTCCACTGGGATCAGGGATAATCACTAATTAGACGATTATGTAACGATGCGTTCGCACCTGCAGACATCGATCAGAAGAATCTCATGGACGACGAGTGTAACATACAGATAATAATCTCGTCTATTCATTTACGCTCAACGGCTAAAACGATTCAGCGGCGCGTTAATTAGAAATAGGAAAAGGAAACTCCCTTTTCCACACAGCGTTTGTTGTATCTATGAGAGATGAAACACGGTAACATGATTATTTCTTTACTATATCTTTACGTTTTATATAAATGACATGCGATTTATAAAAGCGTGCAAATTATCAGGAAAGTTGGAATATAGTAGTTACGACTAGATTGTCTGATATTGAGCATCTTAATGGCGCATTAGGAGAACTTTTTCGGCATACGTCGAACGAATCATTACATTAATTAGAACAAGGATGAGATAAATTTTAGGAAATTTATAAAAGGTAATTAGTAAAACACTGTAGCAAAGAATAGAACTCTTGGTTTCGCAGTCGCCGTGGAAAGTTGCGAAAGAAAGCTCAACCAGCAACATTGAAACGTTGACAAGACTTTATGCTGTTTAAGTACTTCCTTAACTTTTGAAAAAAAACACATGCTGCGTTTCTTCCTGAATCAACAGTGCGTGTAATATGTTATTACCATGTAAACAAAATGATGTGAATACCTAGGAAATATACTTATTAGGATAGCTCTTATTTTATACTTGGTGAAAAAAATGTTTTATGTATTTGTTTTCCCCAATTCCCCCAGAACAGTTCCAAATATTAAAAAATTAATCTGTATAAAAATTTTTATTGCGAATAAGAAGAATACCGACGGGCACACTTTAAATGCCAAATTATTTTACGTTACTCGTTAAAGTGTTCATCGGCATATGTTCTTTTTATCCGATTGCAATAAAAATTTGAATACAGATTATTTTTTTAATATTTGGAATTATTCTGGGCAAACAAATATATAAAAAATTTTTTCATCAAGTATAAAATAAGGGCCACTCTAATGCTTACATACTTGTCTTATTAATAAAAGGTTGTGTCCATAAATTATTATTTCTATTTAATATAGATTTTATATCCTTGTTGGAAAGAATAGAGTTATATACCATGCTTGAATAATCACAAATGAAATGTTATATCTACCATTCTTCTAATATATCTTACAATTATGTAAGAAATTAAAGAAGGAAATCTGTTTCTCATTCTGCTTTTCAAAATTACTCACAATAATTCGATGATACTTAAATTAAGCGACTGCTAACCAGGAAAGAAGTTGAAATTTTGAAAAACAGAATAAGGCAATTTTGAAAAATAGAGTGAGAAGCAAATTTCCTTCCCAATATTACAATACTTATATAAGCAAAGATGCTAAAAGAATAATAACGTTCTTTTGGCGACTATTCAAATACTGTATGATTCTATTCCAACAAGAATAGAATCTGTATTAAAAGTAACTAACTAAAGGCTAATCTTTCATTAATAAAAGCAAGTAGTATATTTCAATTGCTCACATTTTGTCCATCCCCTATATACAACAGGAGATTCAGAAAGCTGATCAAATATCGATTTAAATAAATTTGATCAGAAGTGGATTAGATGGTGGTTCGGAATAGATAGAACTGTTTCGTTATATTTCGAGGCTCAAAATTGCAAAATATTTGCATAATCTTCTTAGTCAATGAGATTGAAGAAAGAAAAAAAAAGAGAAAAGACCTTTTGCTTTCTGCGATGTGGAAAGTATTTATACGCGGGCATTAGTTATTCTTATTCCGTGCACATGCCGTTATCTTGAGCCCTGCCACCAGGGACAATGCCATTGCCATAGTGAAACAGTGAAAGTATGGTCATTTTGCCCTCGCTGTCGTACGCATTTCTGCTCTTTCCCACTCATGCTGCTCGCACGCACGCACAAGATGACACACGCATCGACATTTCGCGCTATCGCGATAGTCTCGTTTTGAATGTCACTTCATGTGTTCTATTGAAGCGCTCTCCACTTGCGACGCAGCGGCGAAATTGCTTCTGCATTTGACTGCATCAAAGATGAGAGGTAATATCTTCCGCTCGCGTGATTTTCTTTGTTTTACGATTTGCAATAAGTTAATTGTGTTACATATTTGTCACAAACTGATTTTTTTCAATCCTCAGTTATTAACTCTCTTCATAGCGGAATGAAATAACGTTAACAATTTTCAGCACGATGAGGATCCTTTTAAAGAGCATCATATGCCTTCTGTCAGTGGTTAACGCGAGGACTGCGATAATGCCGCCACCGTGGGCCGATCCCTCGAGCAACCCCTGCGCTGCACAACCACGCGGTTGGCTGCTGCTTTACTGGCCAACAGATGGGAAATGCTATAAAATATTCCAGGTACTAATCTTTTTTTTCTCACAATTTATGCCTTTGTAATTTGCAATAAATTTATGATATGTCACGGCTGTTCTAAAAGATTCATTTACGTATATTTCTACCAATATAGATTAATTTGATTAACTTATCTACATTAGCCTGCAATGTTAAGACAATGGTAAACAATAATATAATTTATTATTCTATGATGACATATTTAACAGAATGTTTCGAGCTTTACTTAGCCCTCCTCAGCCGTGTGTAAATTCAAATTACTTTCTATATTTTATTATAAAATTCACAATAATTATCTTACTTTCTATTATGATCTTTTGTTTTGCTGTACAAAAACCATAATGCTCCTGAATTGACAGTCATGAAGTCAAGGTATAAATCCAGTTTCTTGAAAGCCAATTAATTAAAATCAAAAGTTCCATAGTCAATAGTAATGTAGATGTTCGTGGATTAACGATCAAAAGAGACAGCAAAAATAACACATGACAGGTCATTATTTAACGTTGATGCATTAAACATCTAAACTCTCCATAAATTTTAATTAATTGACTCTTCCATTTCTCGCTGATAATCGAGAAATTGGCTTCCAAAAAAAACTGGACTTATATCTTGACTTTATGACTATCAATTCAGGAGCATTATGATGTATTCGTACAGCAAAACGAAAGGTCATAATAGAAAGTGAGATAATTATTGCAAATTTTTTTAAAATATAGATAGTAATTTGAATTTACATACGGCTGAGGAGAACTAAGTGAAGCTCAAAACGTTCTATTAAATATGCCATCGTAGAATCATAAAAGATATTATTGTTTACCACCTTAACATTGTTCGATTAATATAATAGACCTTATATTTTAATTTGTTATTATTTAGCAGTTTATACGTGTAATAAAAACTTTAATTATTTTATATTAGCTTGATTTCATCCACTGCTGGATATCGACCTCTTCCAATCTTTTTCATTTTGCACGATCTTTAGAAAGAAGCAATTCGGCATTAAAACGTTTCGCTTGCCATGTGTATTGGCGAGTGTACATTGACATATGGGATCTACAGTTTTTAACGCTGATCCGTATAGCGATGACAAAAATACTCTTGGAGATTTACCATTGTCTTCCGAGAGGTGGCGATCAAATAAAATTTTACGTTTTGGGTTTTAGGTGGATTTGAACCTTGAATCTTTGGCACAGAAAACAGTCTACACTCTGCGCCACGATCGCCATTTGGTTAACTTACTTTTTATCTTTTTCCTAGTTCTAAGAATCAGAAAAAGAGCAATTAAATTAAACCGAGATTAAAGTTAATTTATATTGGTAAAAATTGACATTAAAGGAATCATTTACTTCTAATGAGGGAAGAGAATAATATTGGGGGACACCGATTTTGATCAAACTTAGAGTGCGTTCCGTTTTTACGTTCACACGCTATAAGTACATATCAGTTCATCCATATTGTCTATTTATTAAACAAGAATAAATAATGCTAAAGCGTTGTAAACAAAAAATGGGACATATCCTTGGTGAGAATACAGTGCGTATCCCCAGCAACTGACTTGTGACGCAAGTAGTAAGATACTAGTAAAAAATAAGCAAGACAATTGAAATTATAAATTCTGCAATTGCTCAAGTTTCTTAATATTTTGCTCCGCAAACTATCCAGTAATTTGATAAATGAGCCGAAGTAGCTCAGTAGTTAGAGAGCTAGTTGGACTGAATAAAGTTCCAGCATCAGCGAGTTACTCACAATGCACAGCTGGTCAATCCACATTCTGTTTTTTTAAATTTATTTTCGACAGTATCGAATAATATTTAATTATCATTAATCTTCTTTGTTACATTCATAAATTATTTTAACACTGTACTCACACATAAAGGATTAGCGTAACTCCTCCGATTTTCATAGTTCAGATGTTCTTTTCCAATCCCTTTTCACTTATTGCAAAATATCTTTTATGCTACGACATTTTAGACTTTTTAACTAAAAAAAAAAACTCTTTTTTTGTCAGTCTTCAAACGACAGATTAAAAAAAAATTAATTAAAATTGATGCACTACAATCTGAGATATAAGCAAAAAAATGCTAGGTTACAAATACTCGGATGTGGGTAGATAGGGACTTTTTTGAGATGTAGGTACTGAGGGTTATAATTATAATATACTGAGGGTATTAACTATCTAAAAAATTATTCGTCCACAGGATGTGCGTAAGTACAGTAGGACATTACATTTATAATTTTAATTTTCTCGCTTATTTTTTAGTAGTACATCTTGTGACACACGTCGGTTGTTGAGGATAGGTCATATCCTCACCAATTTAATCTTAACGTGACGTTAGGATCCCCTCATGAGTCATTTATGATCTTTTATATATATGGCAGATCGGCCCCCCGTGCCCGGAAACCATGGAACTGGGTCCAGCAGCCGGCAATGGAACAATTGCGGAATGTAGATGTCCTCCAGGAACCGCTCAATCGCCCAAGGACGCGTTGTGCCATCCGATATTCACGAGAGCATCCTGCTCCAAGGGTCAATTCTTTGCACCTGTACCCGACGCGCTTGATAAATTAGCGTAACAAAAACAGTCTCTCTCTTTAATCTCATTTCATAATTAACTGGAAACACCTATACATATTCATGATGGTCCTCTTTAGTACGAAACAGCGATGGGGAATCTGTCGTGATCCCGAAATCTGCAAAGAACAAGGCGAGATTTACTGGCCCAAGGACGGCAAGTGCTATCCGAAGCTCAGCAGGGGCCCATGTCCACGTGGCGAACTTCTTGTCACAGGCGAGGACGGTCTAGCGATTTGTTCATGTTCGGCAAGTGGCGAATTGGCCAGATATTATTGGTTAGGAAATGACGGTGGTTGCCACGAACACTATACCAAAGGTCCTTGTTCGGAGCCAGGAGAATTGTTTCTGCCGGGTGGAACATGTGGCTGCCACCCTCAATTACCTCACTATCACGAACTGAGCAGGATGTGCTATCAGTTAGGTAAAACATTTAACATAGTCGAATAATACAACCTAATAATTTAAAATGTAAAAATGAAAATTCGATGTAATAATGAAATTGAGAAAATGGAAACGAAGGACACTATCTTCTTTAACATAAATTCCTTTATGCCTTTAAAATTATTGTACAAATATGAATCATTTTTCATCAAATTTTCTTCAAATTTTTCATAAAATTAATTTTATAAAATATTTGTTAATTATATAATTAACATTGTTATAATAGATTCAAGAGATAAAGATCGAGCGATAAAGATCGACCGCTATATTCTTCTTATTGAATTCTTACACACACTTGTGATTGGCATGCACTGACTCATTCCTTCAATTTAATTTTTAAGTCTTCATCCTTAGTAAAATATTTTTTAATTCATAATGTGAATTATCAGACAGCGTTGGTCCATGTCCACAAGGACATCACTTTACGGTGACAGTGGACGTCAGGTCATCACAGGAAGATATTGTACGAGCTAGATGTGTTTGCAAATCGGGTCATGTGTTATATAAAGACGGATTCTGCTATCGATTGCATACGAGAGGACCCTGCGAGAGCGGCTATATGTTGATAAATTCGTCAACCTGCATTCTCGTGCCATGCAAACGCGGTAGACTATACTTTCCTCAGGAGAAGACATGCTACAAGATCGGTACAAGAGGACCGTGTCCGAACGGGCAGATAGTGTTATACGATTACAACGTGAGACCGTCCCTCGATGGAATTAGTTACAATGGCGTATGTGGATGTACCAATATCATGAGAGACGCTGGCAAGTGCAAAAAGAATGATAACGATGATTGCGAGAACAGGCCAGGAATGGTAATGATCAAGAAAACCTGTTATAAGTTGTACACACAAGGCCCGTGTATTGAGGGGGAATGGTTAGTCGCTCAGAGAATACCGAAAAATAATCGATATGTGTTATGGCAACAAGAAGAATTGCGACTGAAAACTAGATGCGAATGCCGACCTGGTTACAAGAGGATTGTCCCGAGCTCTGGTGAAGCTATGGAAGAGTTAGAGAATAATAATCTGATCTCACCAAATAGTTGCCAACCACCAGCGGTAAGCTTGGCAAGATTTCTCAACGATAATATCAAATCAACAATGACTTGAATAGCTCATAAATTGCTGCACAGTGATTGCAGCGTTTATAGAACGCTACGTTCATTTATAAAACTGTTAGATAAAACATAATTTTTTTTTTGAAACTGGAATAGTTATTTTTTTATAGTTTTTTGGATGCTGAGAGTATGAATGCGTTTTCGAAATGGTTGTATCACAATTTTGAGAAATTTGCAATTCAATTTGCAAAAAGAATTACTTTTACGCACAAAGAAAAATATTTGATTGAATTAACTGGAATTCTAGTGAAAAATGAACGATCCAGAATTCTGACTATGTTTACTATAAAATTCTGATTAAATCTATTAGAATTTTAGTAGATTTAACTAAGAAAATTCTGAATGTTGTGGTTATCTCAACTAGATTTCTAATAGAGATTTAACCAGAATTCTGGATTATTTTCCATCAGAATTCCAATTAATTCAATCAAACATTTTTCTCCGTGGTGTATTTTGTCGTATTATAACGACGATCTGTGATATAATGGAAAAGTTTATTGCAATCAAAATTAAATATTTTATTAGAACTTTATCTATAAAAAAATTCTTTAATATCAGCTATGGTTAATAAGATATTCATTATAAATACTATGTACATATTATAAAATGGGGTCTATTATAAAAAAAGCTGCGAATTAAGTCATTGATGATTTAACATAGTGTTCGCAAAGGATAGAAAATTTTATGTTAATAGAAATAAATTATTTAATAAAACATGTTTCAATAATAATTTGGCGGAAGATGTGCTGCCAGTATATTTCTGGTATGGAAACGCTCCTGAGCCAGAGCGTCACGTGAGCGCTTGGCGGCTCGATGGTGCCTCGAGCGATGGTGGGGGGCGTTCGCCGGAATCCAAAATGTGCAAATCTTTGCGAACACTGATTTAACAAATAGCTCATTCTTTTATATTTATTTAAACTAAGAGTTTTTTGGCTATTGAATATGAATCCGATGTCAAAATTGACAAATTCAAGATGGTTTAATATGATGAATGTCAAAACTTAAAAAATGTCTGAATTCTTACAAAATGTATAAAAAATTCATTTCAAAAGACAGGCAAATGAGAGTCAATTGCGCAGTTAAAGGTACAAAATACAACTATATTCTAAAATTTTATACATCATAATATTCGGACAATTTGACTGTCTTTCAGTCATTTTCAACGAATTGATAACATACTTAAAGAGATTCTCGCGCTACTTCCTAGTCAATAGACAGTTTATTCAGAATATGTAAAACAATTAAAATAATGGAATAAAAAGGTTACTAATATCTTATGCCATTATACATAATTATTGTTAATTTTATATGTTACTAAATATTTAAAAAATGATAAAGTAAAAGTTGTAAGATGTTCATTTGATGTACACGCATCCATCATCCATTTAACATATATTCTAGCTTTTTTCATTGAAGAATATAAATTTCTTATAAACTGTATTTAAACAGTCAGTTTAAATGAAACTTTATGAGAACAAACTTAAGTGTTTACTTTATAATTATAACGATTTTTAAATTGCTATCTTATACGCAAGTGTCTCAATTTAAAAGAGAATAACTATAGAATAAGATTATATTTTCAACTTGTAATGTAAATTTTAAATTGTTAATTATAAATTCTATAAATTTATAATTAAATATCAAAATGGTACAACAAAAGTCAATGAAAATTTTTTCTAGATATTATTGATATTATTAACTTTTGTATTACATGTATATTATAGACTTGTCTTATATTTCATCAAATGCGAGAACCTCCTTAAACGCTATTTTTAGACATAAATTTCTCGCAAAATTTCTTCTTTGATCGCATCATGCTAAACTACTCTTTTCAATTCCTGTTCGAGGAGTGTTGTAGTTTATTTTCACATTAATTTAAAATTGTGTTAAAACAATATGCGTTAAACTAAGTTTCTTGGAAACCACGTTAACGATAACACTTCTCCAACAGGATTTGAGAAGAATAATTCAGCATAATGCGATCAAAGAGAAAATATTGCGAGAAATTTATGTCTAAAAATAGCGTCACGTTTAAGTATGTTATCAATTCGTTGAAAATTACTGGAAGACAGTCGAAATGCCCAAATATTATGATGTACACAGTAAAATTTTAGAATATATAATTTTACATCGCACCTTTAACCGCGCAGTTTATTCTCATTTGCGTGTCTTTTGAAATTAATTTTTTGTTAAATTAGAGAATCCATTATAATTACCTATTTAAAATCTATTCATTTCTCACGAAACTGACAAATTTAAAAATAAAAGATATTTAAAATTTATAAATATCTTTCATTTTTTAATTTATCAATTTCGCGTATACAATTGCCTAAAAACCCTTATCTTTATCTAAACATAATTGAAAGCTATTTAGTAAACCATTAATAACCTAATTCACTTTTCTGTAACAGATTCCATATTAACTACGAATATCTTATTAACCATAACTGACACTAAAAAATCCTTTTGAGGATTGACAATCCAAACAACATTAATTTTGATTACAATAAAATTGTTCTGCACATCATATATTGTTATAATACAACAAAATATAAAAATATTCTTTTTTTACAATTTTAAATGTAAATTTTTTTAAATTATAACATGCTGGATAATTTGAGAACCAGATTTGTATTCAGCATCCAAAAAAAAACTATGGAAAACGACTAGTCTCATCTTAGTATTTTTTTTTTGTCAAACAATATAATTCATAAGAATCATCGAATTACATTTATTTATTTTTTGCCTAGTGAAGAACATGCATGATGCATCGAATTTTTCTATTAAAAAACTATAATTAATTTTATTTTGTACATGATATACTGAATTATTTAGTTTTATCTTATAGTTAAGCAAAGTTTTATTTATTGCGTCTCATATTTTAAAGTTTAAACATTGTAAATATCTTAAGAATTTTAAGTATGATCGCATATGTGAATACATCAAATACGATAAAGAAAGCTAAAATCGGTCATATTTTTGGATGTTACAAATAATACATTATATATTCTTATTAAATCAATTTATTCCAGACATAATTGCGAGCCGATAACATTCGGATTCAACACAATCATTCTGAAACGCTAATAATCCCCCCCCCCCTAGATTAAATTAGAAAGAAAGAAAGAAATTTATTGTAAAAAATATTACCTTAGCCAGAGTTTCTTTCTTTCTTTCTAATTTAATCTAGGAGGGATTATTAGCGTTTCAGAACGATTGTGTTGAATCCGAATATTACCGCCTTGCAATTATGTCTGGAATAAATTGATTTAATAGAAGAATATATAATGTATTATTTGTAACATCCAAAAATGTGACCGATCTTGGATTTCTTTATCATATTGTAAATATCATTTATGTATTTACAAAAACTAAAGTTACTTATGAAAGATATGAGAGACAAGTGCCAATTTTTTCTAAGACGCTTATCAGAAGTTGTAAATAAATAAAAATGTACTTACTCATTTTTATGCTGTAAATCACGGATTTGTTTTTGC